GGCTAAGGCGAAAGTCTAGTGAGCCAAAATTCACGATGCTCTCAATTCAGAGATTCCCTCGGTTAATGAAAGTCGGAAAAATCGGTGTCGGAAGATTAAAGTTGGAATTTATAAGTTTAATGTTGATAATTTCAAGATTAATGTTGATAATTCCAAGATTAAAGTTGGAAATTCCAAGATGAAAGTTGGAAATTCCAAGATTAAAGTTGATAATTCCAAGATTAAAGTTAATAATTCCAAGATTAATGTTGATAATTTCAAGATTAATGTTTGATAATTCCTAGATTAAAGTTGATAATTCCAAGATTAATGTTGGATAATTCCAAGATTAAATTTGATAATTCCAAGATTAAAGTTGATAATTCCAAGATAAATGTTGATAATTCCAAGATTAAAGTTGATAATTCCAAGATTAAAGTTGAACTGGTTATGTCGTCTTTTCACTATGCTTTTGGATGTGTACTGATATTTTAGTTGAAGATAATGATTTTTTTTATTAGTAGTTATTGACTTTGAACTAGCTTTAAATAACTGCGAGTACTAACAAATCTCAGATCTGTACTTAATGTCTTTTGTGTTAGTGTTTTTGTTTTTGTTTTTGTTTTTGTTTTTTTTTTGCTTTGTATCAACTGATGCTGATAGTTTTTCTCATGCCGTTCTGTTCACCACTGTGACATGATAGGCTAGGGTTTGGCGCAATCAAACATGTTTAACCCTGCCATGTTCTATCTGTGCCTGTCCCAAGTTAGGAGCCTGTAATTCAGTGGTTGTCGTTTGTTGTTGTATATTGTTTTACATTTGTCATTTCGGGGCTGTAGGGTGACCTGTAGTTGTGAACTGCTACGTCATTTGGTCTCTGATGGCGAGTTGTCTCATTGGCAATCATACCACATCTTCTTATTTTTATATTTATTGTTTAGTTTGAATACGTGTTTAAGCACAATGGGGTCTTTTGCAGGAAATAGTAAAAGTGTGACTTTGGAAAATACAACAGGAAGTAATCTTGAGTACATGAAAGTATGCTGATTATTTTGCAATTATTGTGTTTACAACATGTGCAAGTTACTTAATTTAATCATCAACATTTGTAATAAGAGTAAAAAAATGCAATCTTAATATGACACCTTAAGTGACTTTCATATATCTGAACTAACTTATATTCCCGTTATGTAAATGACTAAATGTTTTTAAGCTATCCTTTTCAGAATCAGTATAAAGAAAATTCATAACTTTCTGATGAAACTAATTCAAATATAATTTATACAAAAGTATTTTTTCTTGTGGTAAAAGAAAGAATCCCAAATGCACAACCTCGGTACAGGTAACCGGAAGCTATCCTAATTCACCGGGAGTGACATTGTATATATGCTTCAGTTATATCTGGTCTATATACCAGATTTGGTAAGTGTTTGGTATTACTATAAATTTTCACTTCTTCGCACTATGAACATCAATATTATCTATTTTGTAAAAATATTTCCTTTCTCCATTTGAACTGTACACGTATACCTAACAACAAAATTATTTTCATTTACCTGTGTTTAAAGTAATTGCAAATGGCTGATATTTTCGTTCAAGCATATTGTTTTTTCTTAAATTGTTTGACATTTCACAGCGGTATAACATGTTACTTTAATTATTCTTCCCTTAGTTTATTTATTTTGTATTTACATTGTATCATAGATCAAATTTATTTGTTCAGCGTATGTTTATTGGTGTTAATATGTCTTTTGATTGAGTTAAGCCATTTCAATTGATATTTTATAGTGTGTTTTTCTATGTTGTGATGTTACACTATTGTTTCAGATAAGGGTGAATGTTTTGTACCATTAAAACGTTTAAACCCGCTGCAATTGTTTGCACCTGTCCTAAGTCAGGAATCTGATGTTCAGTAGTTGTCGTTTGTTGATGTGGTTCATAAGTGTTTCTCGTTTCTCGTTTTTTATATAGATTAGACCGTTGGTTTTCCCATTTGAATGGTTTTACACTAGTAATTTTTGGGGCCCTTTATAGCTTGCTGTTCGGTGTGAGCCAAGGCTCCGTGTTGAAGACCGTACTTTGACCTATAATGGTTTACTTTTATTAAATTTTGACTTGGATGGAGAGTTGTCTCATTGGCACTCATACCACATCTTCTTATATCTATTCAGACATAGAAATGTACTGTATTCTTTCCCTTTAACTGTATGTTATTTTGAAGTAAATGAAAAAGGAAAGCCATACATAGACACCCTATTACTATAACATATGACATCGAAGGATATTTTTTATTATTTCAGTTTGATTTTCTTTTTAAAATTAATTTGCTATTTGTTATTTGTTGTTTTCTATTTTCTGCTTTTAATATCAATGTGCCTAAATATTCAAGGGTTGAGATCTCACAGCGCCTGTCCGAAGTCAGGAACTTCTGGCCTTTATTAGTCTTGTTTGTTTTTTTAAATTTTGGTTCATTTATATGTTTCGGAATTTAGTGTGACGTTCATTTTCTCTGAAACAGTATACATTTTTGTTTAAGGGCCAGCTAAAGGCCCAAGACCACAATTAATAACACGAATGTAGTTCCCTTTAATTAAAGTGTATTTTTTCTTCATTTTTTTTTCTTTGCCTTTCTCATTCATTTCTTAGTTTTTATGGGATGGAAATGAAAGAAGAGAGGTGAAATAAATTTTTGGATGTTGTATTTTAACTGATTTTGATATGGAAAGAGTGATTAGGATAAGTGCAAAAAGGTAATATTTACAGTTTTCGGAACATCTCTTGACTTGTCCATAGGTGTATGGATGTGTATTGGCTAAATTTGTAAGATATTGGGGAGCGATTTTTCTGAATTTTGGATATGTGTTTGGACTAGTACTATACATTACACACACAAACGATTAGACAAAAAGAATCGGTGCATTTTTTCAATGAGACAAAAAGTTATAAAGAACTAATAGAGAAATTAATTGTGGTCTGTGGCCTAAAGCCCGCCTCTGGGTGCGGGATTTTTTCGCTGTGTTGAAGAGCCATTGGTGGCCTTGAGCTGTTTTCGGCTCTTTGGTCGAGTTGTTGTCTCTTTGACACATTCCCCGTTTCCATTCTCAATTCTAAATGGAACAATAATGTGAAAATATAGGACTTATAGACACCCTAATGTTAGTTTCCTTCTTATATCATAACGATTTTTCACATTTAAGCTTGACTGTTTGCTTTCCTTTACTTGATGTTCAGGCGATAAAATCAAATAAACACACACAAAAAACAGCAACAACAACAACGTAACCTGTCCACTTCAAAGGTTAAATTTTACAAGTTCAATGTTTTCAACTGGGAGGACCGTAAAATATAATGTTTCATTTAGTTGTACTCAACAACAAAGTTATTATGGACCAATTAATGATATTTACCAAAACAACAGTATTAAAGTTCCTGTCTGAATACCTGGCACTGAGACACATTTATTTTTTGTCTTATTATGATCCTGCCAATATAATACGGTTACAACAACAATATCAAGAGTCATACACAGAAGCTTGTTCGCTATCAATGAAAACCAAACATATATTATATGTCGAAAATGAGCATTTAATTTTAGACATAATACTAACTCACAAAGAAAATTATGATGTCGAAGTTGCAAGAGGTTTCATTTTCTTGAAAAATACAGATCTCTGAAATTCGACGTTTGTCCAATGAGCTATATATACTAGTATTATCATAGAATCTACTTAATATCAATGTAGTGGAAATGGAATCGTGTGAGAATTAAGTCAGATTGATGGATTCAAAATTGATATTTTGTAGGAAATAGTAATTCTTTTAAACTTGATAACTGAATTTTAACTAGAGGCTCTGTAGAGCGTGTGTCGCTCACCTAGGTCTTTGTGCATCTTCAACAATGGACAACCTTCAACATTGAATACTTAATCCATTTGATGCTGGATGTATACTTATTGATATTTTAGTATTAGAAACATGATTTTTATGTTGTTATGGGCTTTGGACAATGAATGACAGTAAATGCGAGTACTCTTAGATCTATATTTTGTGTCTTTTGTGTTTTTGTTAGCTTTTTTTGTGCTTTTGTATCGATCTGATGAGTTAAGCCCTTTTCAACTGATTTTCATAGTTTGTTCTTATGTTCTGTTTCACCACTGTCCCAGGTTTTTATGTACTTGATGGATAGTAGTTAGATCTGAACATTTGAACATTTCTGCTAATGTCAGATTTTCTTTATTCATAGCGGTTTTCAAGATAATAGGCAAAACTTGCATTTTACTCCTATGTTTTATTTTAAGCCATGTCGGCCATGTTGGTTGGCGGTTGTTATTGGACATATTTATTTAACTAGATTTGGCCCAATAGTTTAAAAGGAGAAGATTTTTGTAAAGGTAAACGGACAACGGAGACGGACGACGACGGACGCCAAGTGATAACAGAAAAAAACGGGACTGACGAACGGACGCGCAGACAGAATGGAAAACATAATGCTCTCGTAGGCGGGATTCAAAAAAGGAATCAGGCTTATAAATAATTACGTCATACGCGATTTTTATTCTACATTAGATTTATTATTTGCCCGAATCAAAACAGTAGGGAGACCAAATTAGTGACGTAGTTGAAGACATTTCATAAATTCAAAAACGGTGTTCAAGTCATTTGAATTATGCCTAAGCAAGATAACTGTACGTGATATACTTCAAGAGACTAAGAAATCCATTATGAACATTCTAAAGCACTTTATAAAAGTCTTGCTGCGATAAAGGCAACTTCTTTTATTTTTTAAAAAAGTAACTGCACGTTCAGTATCTTGTACACTTATGTAAACCCATAATTACATAATACCTTTGTATATTGACAAGACAATCTATAAACAGCAGGTGACAGTTAACAAAGTTTTAACAAATGATGATGGATGCTTTCAATGAACAACATGTAAAACGTAAAAAAAATAAAAAGTAAATTTAAAAGTATTTTTGAATTAAAAAATGACAAAACTGTTGTCAAACAATATTTCCTACCTTTGAAGTTCTAATGATATTGATCTCTGATCTCTGATTTGTGTCGCAATGTATTTTTTAAATGCCCGAAGTAACTTCCCTTCTTCATTTGCCAAAATTGACAGTTTATATACAGACGTAAATATTTCGCCATGTATAATATGAAATAATAAACAACAAACGATTGAAATATTCCACAAAAAAATCATCCCTATGTCCGAAGTGCCTTCAGATTCAGCTATATTGTCGTTATGTGCATTTATACCAATTCGAATAAGGCAGTTAAGTACGACAAATTTACAATGTGTGATGGATTATTCAAATAATTTACTTTTTGTAAGACGATTTAGTGTTTTATTAACTGTTTGACTGTACCATCTGTGTCGTTTTTACATACCTGATTGATAACTTGTTGTATCCGTTGACGTGCATTAAGTCCATGAAATAAAAATTCGATATTGTCGTTTGAAGAATGCTGCAGAGTTTGTCACGAGTAAAGGGCAAAAGGTGGATCATATTTCAATATAAATGAAATTGTTGCTAAGTTACAAATGTACATTGTGAACATATAATTTTGCCTATGTAAAGCGTTATTTTATCGTTACTCAGATATACACAGCTGTCATTCGGTATATCGAGAAAATGATCGTGAAAAAATAACTTACGTTGGTCAAGTTTTGTGTTAGGATCGTGAAAGATCTTGTATGGGATTGTGAATAAATCTAATCGAGAAGACACGTGCATGGTCAATAATTAATATTTTTTTTAATCATAAGCCTAAGGTTAAATTTAAAAAAAAATAAAATTGTCTGTCAAAATGGTTCGATCAAAATTATGATCATAAAATTGAGAATGGAAATGGGGAATGTGTCAAAGAGACAACAACCCGACCATAGAACAGACAACAGCAGAAGGTCACCAACAGGTCTTCAATGTAGCGAGAAATTCCCGCACCAAGAGGCGTCCTTCAGCTGGCCCCTAAACAAATATATATACTAGTTCAGTGATAATGAACGCCATACTAAACTCCAAATTGTACATAAGAAACTAAAATTAAAAATAATACAAGACTAACAAAGGCTAGAGGCTCCTGACTTGGGACAGGCGCAAAAATGCGGCGGGGTTAAACATGTTTATGAGATCTCAACCCTCCCCCTATACCTCTAGCCAATGTAGAAAAGTAAACGCATAACAAATACGCACATTAAAATTCAGTTCAAGAGAAGTCCGAGTCTGATGTCAGAAGATGTAACCAAAGAAAATAAACAAAATGACAATAATACATAAATAACAACAGACTACTAGCAGTTAACTGACATGCCAGCTCCAGACTTCAATAAAACTGATTGAAAGATTATGTCTTCATCATATGAATATCAGGCACAATCCTTCCCGTTAGGGGTTTAGTATCATACCATCATAACATATATGAGAAGAACATAACCCGTGTCATGCCAACAACTGGTTTTTAAATAAATGTGTTTAGTGCCGATGCAAAGACCCTATAAGTGAATCAATATTAACGCCAAAATATGCAATCTTTAATGACCTGACAACAGTATCGTAACTATATCCCTTCTTAATAAGTCTATTTAAAGGTTTTGTTAGCTTCAGAGGTGAATACTGACATTTTTGTGCTTTATAATGAATATTTCCATAAAAAATTGGATGTGAAATACCTGAACGTGTAAGAAGTCTGCATGTTGAGCTATATTTACGAATGATGTCCTTATACCGATGATAAAATTTAGTAAATGTTTTGACTAGTTTGTGATATCGAAAACCCTGGTGTAATAATTTTTCAGTAATACATAAATTTCTCTCATTAAAATCTAAAACATTGTTACATACACGTCAGTCTCTTAGAAAATCAACTAAAAAAGGCAGATTGCTCTTCAATATTTTAACACCCAGTCTTTGATAGAACCATGCAAAAGGCTTATTAGTGGGTCCACAAGACATGTCAACCAAATGTAATGAAATTTTGCACATATGTTTTAAGTCAAGAGAAAAAAATTCTATCTTTAAAATTTGATTTTAGGCTATTTTTAGATTTTGCAGCGCCATCTACTGGAAAAGACTTAATTTCCCAAAATTTCCACAAAAATGTCTCAACTTTGTTACTCTGAATATGCTAGATATGGTTATGTTTAGCTGGTATTTGAATTGAGTTTTATAACAAGCATCATTCGTTCTTCGAAACTTGACACAATGTTATAGCTTGAGATTAGCTATATTTTGGGGCTGACCTGTCTAAAACGGCATTTTGGGCATATTTTGGATACTTGCTGATAAGATCAACAAAAAGACATGAAATCTTTTAAAGTAATATGATTTTTTCAATGTTCTAAATATTTCTATAAAGGTTTACATGTGTGCTACAAGTTTTATGATTTTTTAGCTGGGGTCTTTTACACCGTTACCATGGCAACGGAATACAAATGTGTAATTTTCACGTTTTTTTTCACAATAATCCGTGTATTTAATCTTGCAAACTTACTTATCTTTTGACACTGGCCTATGATATTTGGCATGAAGGTGTATAACAATAAGACAGTGTATCTTATAAAAATTAAAACCGTCAAATGTCCTTGAAACTTGACCTCAAGGTAAAAATATTTGATTTTTTTACATTTTCTTGTCTGGAGCACACCTTTTTCTCTCCATTTTCAAAGTCTTTTAATACTTGACACATAAGTGCAGCACCTCAATATGATGTGTCGCGTACCATGGATGATGACTTTGATCTATGTCACCCTAAAACCAAACATATTCTGTCTTGCCATGTCAATATGAAAATGAAGAGATGTGGACTGATTGCTTATGAGACTATCCACCACAGTTAAAATGAAGTGGTAGTAAGCAATTGATAGGCCACAGTTCGGGTAATACCTTTGCAGTGCAGATAAGGGTTTGTCCCTGGGAGTCATGCCCCGCCCCCTCATATAATAATGTTTATATATAGATTCATCTAAAAAAAAGGGTCCAGAACCCCATCCCTTATCCATATTCAATCTTAATTGCCTTTCTGGTTCGTCATGGGGGACATGCCCTGTCCCCTACAAACCATTGATGGTAAAATAGCTTGAAATATGTTCATATCCCTACCTCTAAATCATATATATATTCCCAATCAGCATGACAACACCTTTGAGTACACCATATATGTGTTTGCTGGGATTCGTGCCCCTTATATACACTGTTCAGATACACACCCTAAACCATATACTCTAATAAATATATCATGACTAGACCAATTAAGTGTACCATACATTTTGTCCCTCATGCCCTACCCTCTCTTTTAATAAATTGTTAAATATATTGAAAACAGTGCATATTTCCACGAATTAACCATATATTCTTACTTGCAACGACCATTTTTTTACTAGAGTGACTTCTACAGGGGAGACATTAGTTTTAATTCACTAAAACGGTTCTAAATAGTTGTAAATAAATTCTAGAAAATTTGGTAGAATTCTGACTTTATGCAGAAAAATTTGAAATACTGCGATATCAGACCTTAATGTTTGCAATGATTTTATTGCGTATTCATGGTGACCGTCAAAAATGTGATATTAATTTTAAAAGCAAATTTAAATTATACTGAAATTGAATATTGTACAAAAATTGAAAATGCAACTAATGTCGTGTCACATTCTGTTCCAGGCCTGTTATAGGGCTAACTACATGGTGTGGGGTTCCCAGTTTGTTGCAGATCGTGTTGCGACCTCTGGGTGTATATTTTCGGATAGTTAACTTCTGAGATGAAATGTTGTCTCCTTCACATATACCCCATATTTGTTCTTGTTGTCCCCCTCAGCATCACATTGCGGCCGGGAATATATAAATGCTGTTCGTTCGTCTGTCCGTCCGAGCATCGGTCCGGATTGCAAAATTTCTAGTATTATCGTTATCTAATGGATAAAATTTATGCAGTCGTTTTCTACAGACAACCGGTCAAGGTTGAAAATGAGCCCTGTTCAAAAATTTTGTAGGCGGGGTACATTGAAAATCTGTTGTGTTATTCATATTGCAATAATTTTTGAATTTACAGAAATATATTTTGAAGGTCTCGATCAGAAAGTTTCGACATACATCGTACATGTAAAAGTCAGCTTGTTAGATTTCCCAAATAAACTAAGAAACTACACCTTGTTAGACTATTGCTCTTTTTAAAAAAATACACTTTAAACTTCATGGATATACAGATTAATATTCTAATTTGTTTGATTTGTTGGCAGAAATTGCAAATTTTGACATTTTTCAACAGAATCATAGAAAAAAAACCCAATTATTTTGGTCTAAACATTCTCTTATTACACCTTGGTATGCTTTGTTTTATATTTTATTTTATGAAAAGAAAGGAAATATCGAAACACTTATGATGTATCAAGAGCAGAACGCTTTATTTGAAGAAAAATAGATACTTTTTAAAGATTTTTTAAAATGCATTTTTTACTGAATTATCTCCCTTTGTACTATAGAAAATCAATATTTATGGCATCATTTATTGTAATTGTATTATCTTCATTGTTAGTTTAACTTACAATGTTAAGTATAAAAATACTTTAAAAAAAGTAAAATTTACATTTCCTAAATTATCTTCAAATTGAAATTAAAATTCATTGATTCTTAATTGAAGAGAAATTGCAAATTTGGACATTATTCAAGGAGAATTCTAGAAAGTACTACAACAAGAGCCCACCAATCGTATATGCTAAAATGCGTTATTACCTCTGTCACTTAAAATAACCAAATAGAGATATTTTTATTTTTTTAATAGACCGACAGCTGGTAAGTTTTAAAAAAATGTAATTTTAAGATTTTTAAAAATGCATTTTTACTGGATATCTCCCTTTGTACAATAGAAATTCAATATCAAATGGCATCATAAATTGTAATTGAACTACGGTAATTGTTACTTTGACTTATTTTGTTAAATGTTATATTGCTTTTAAAAAACAAACACTTACATTTCCAAAATTATCTTCAGACTACTACTTTAAATTCATTGATTTATTGAGAGAAAATGTAAATTTAGGCATTTCTCGAGTAGAATTCTAGAATGTACTACAATGAGACCCTTTTGTACAATAGAAATTCAATATCAAATGGCATCATAAATTGTAATTGAACTATGGTCATTGTAACTTTGACTTATTTTGTTAAATATTATATTGCTTTTAAAAAATAAACACTTACATTTCAAAAATTATCTCCAGACTACTATTCTAAATTCATTGATTTATTGAGAGAAAATGTAAAT